TATATATATATATATATAGACATGTATATTATTCATACCTTCGGTTTATAGGACGCAAGCAGATTTTGACATCAAATTTTGGGGTAAAAAAGTATGTCTTATACACCAAAAAATATGGTATGCACACTGGATTTATAGACATTGTTAAAAGAGATAATTATCTCTTTATACAAATCACTAATTAGTTCTCACTTGAAAATAAACAATTTGTTATTAGAAGGAAAAACTTTACTCACTTAGAAAAAAAAATTGTATACTTTTATATAAAAGTTGTACATATATACATGCATGTTCAACTAAGACACGTGTTTGCTTTGTGAGCAAATATCTAGCATAGCTCCTAATTAAGAGATGAAAAAAAAAGAAGGTTTATATTGTGTGAGCTTGATCTTTACACTTTGGGATTCCATGAGCCACATTTGTTAATGACACAAGCCCATGGCTTATAACTTAACCAGAGTACACACAAAAATATGTAATGGATGATACCAAAACCTATCTGGAACATTTTGATCTTTGAATTTAAGTATTATAGTTAGTATTCATTACTTGATCATATCTGTCACTCAAAATTGTATTAAAGATCTATGAAATACAGGTATGGTCTATCACAGAGCTTCACAACATTTTACACCTTGAGACCCACTAAGTTATTTGGCACAATAATAAAAGCCCACATGTGCAACTGAAGACTCATTAACTTAGGGCAGTCCCAGTTGTCCCATTTCGCAGCAACCCATAACTGTGTGTCTCCTAGTCCACCAGTTGAAAAGCAATGGCTTAAGGCTTTTCATGTAGGAAAACTTTTAATGCAAATTCTCACTTATAGATAAATGAAATACAAAAAATATTTATTGAATTAAGTTGTAAACAAATCTGAGAAATGCTCCTAGGTTTATTTTTTATACTTTATTAAATATATTTGATAATTGAGGCAAGTTGCTAAATATCATTTAACAGTCTACAACATGGGAAAAAAGTTAAAAATTAGAAAATTCGTGTCTCTTTTGGCTTTGAGAACAGGGTTCAGTCTGGGTACTTGAAAAAGTTATGTACAGAATCCCACAACAATTTTGCAAGTAAGTGTCAAGGACTAGGCAGTATAAGCTGGGTAAAGTGTTTATAGGAAAAGAACAAAAATGAATTAATTATTTGTATCTTTATTTTGTAACTAAGAATATCTTCCAGAACTGCTCTGCTGTTCGATAAGAAACTCTTCGTTATATTTTATAATTTAATATGGTATTTGTAGCTTTAAAGTATCATTATTGTCCACTTTTGCTAACATTTAGGTAATTTTTCACACTCTGAAAGTTGTTTTCGACATCAGCACAGTATTTAAGCACCAAATTTCATGCGAATGTTGTTCACTATCATAAACTCTATGATGTATTGAAAAATCCTTATAATAGAATGTGCTCAATATTTTGAAATAAACTGTCATAATTGATTTTTAGTCTAGTTATGCTTGTAAAACAAAATTATTACTAATACTGGACATGGCCAATGTGAAAATTACCATAGCCATAGGATAAGATGAACATATCTAATAAAAGCAGGACATCAAGCTGGTAAACACACAATATTATCTGCATAGCCAGTTATATAATCACATTTTGATGGCTTTTTGTTCAATAGCCATAATGTACTTGTATATGAACATGTGATAGATCTTGGGTCCAAGGTATGCATAAGAGATCTAAGTTGCCCTAAAAGCCAAGAGTTAGGGTCACACAGGTCCCAAAATCATTGTTTATTGCTCATGTGTAACATAATAAGCTGTCATTAAATTTAAAATTACCTCATAACTCACACAAGTTTTTTCTTGTGAAATCCTCATTGGTTGAGAAAGTAAACATGAATATATATGTCAATGTTCAATTTAGGAACAATTATTTTTCTGAGACCTACATTAATAAACAATAAAAATTATTGTAAGTTACTGTAAAAGGTTTTAACTTGAGCGAATATTGTTCAATTGCTTTTATTCCAATATAATATTACTTACTGGTTCAAAAAAAAAGGTTACTGCTCATTATAATGTAATTTTGAAATTAAACAATTGAAATGACTTGTCCATATGTTTTTAATATATTTTTGTACCCTGCCACCAATGTTATAAATATCTTCAAAACAACTGGCAATTTTTCTTGCTTAGCCTTAGAATAAGAGCAGTAAACACTATAATTTCATAAATATAATTCACACACCTGCATCTTGAGACTCATCCATTCCCTCACACTTGCGATAATTCATAGTAAACTGTTGGTTCACTATGAAGAACTGAGTTCCAGGCATTTGACAAGCAGTAATATTAGCTTCAGGATGTTTACATTCCCCTGTGAACTTGTATCTATTCTGGTAGGCAAACTTCCACACTCCTTCTAGACTGGATCGGCAGTTCTTGGGAGTGGGATTTGTGGCTGATAAAAATAAAACATTTTTGCAAAGGGAAACAAAAAAAACTTGTTTATTTATTGTATTGTCCATTTCTAAATTAAATCATTCTTTTAATGCTCAGACAATCTCCTACTTATGAAATGTTAGTGCCAACAGATCCTCTGTATCTCTTTTAAAACCAAGGTAGAGCAGATGAAATATTTACTTCTTCATACACTCTAATGAAGTTGCCCTGTCATTGTTTTAATACATATTAATAAATCAAATGTTAGTTTTTATTCCATGCATCGTGTTTCACACCATTGTTAATTCTAACTTTACTGAAGCTGCACTGATTGCTACAAGTATACATACATAAAAGCATATATATACACACACACATAAAAAAATACATGTAGAACAGAGTAGCTTACAGAACATTGTGATTAGCTCATTCTCTGGGTCCAGGGAACGACAAACTGTGCTGATCGTTGGACGTTCATTCTCCAGATTGACACATCCAGCTGAAATGAAAGAATGAAGAAGCACATATTTTAAGGGTATCATCCAATGCACATAACCATACAGCAAACCTATATTAACTCTTCATTAAATGTTTCAAATAAATTGACATAATTTAAATGTTTGTTTCTAAAACTGTGCAATAGTGACTGAAGAATATTACTCAATATTTAAGGTTCTCATCTCGCAAACTTGTTGTTCAAACAAGCTTAGAATCCTCACATTTAATAAAAGAAAAACAAATTTAAAATAATGCTACTTAACATAAAACATTAATATTATTTAATATTTAGAACTTACTACAATTACAGAATACTGTAAGCTATATTTCAAATCTGTTAAATACCTTCATTGATACCATACTTATTCTTTTACTTTAATTCTACAGTAATTACATGATTCTAAAGTATTTAATATCATCCTATGTATCAAAATAGAAAGAAGTTTGTATTTATTATTTTGTATTTTTGTTCTTAACATGTAGGCATGATGATTTTATATTAGACCTTTACTTTTCTTACTATTACAGTATAATTGTTTAAGTACTAACAAAAATCTCATTCCATTTTTGATACTGATATACATATTAACACCAGATTATCAAAATTTGACTACCACTCCAAAGAAGTGAAAGGAACGTGTCATCTCAATTAAAAATGAAATACTTTGCATAGATACGCAAACTTAGAACACAAATAAACTTCAAAATGTGTAATTTTTTTTTCCACTAATTTTTGATATTATTTTTCCTTGAAGATGTTACTGCTTATGTTAATGAAAGCCAAATGTGAATGTGAATTTGGTATATCTGGAATTTGAGAAAGTATCTTACAAAGTGCCCTATAAAAGGTTTATTAAAGAAATTATCTGTATAGGTAAAGGAAATAAGTTAGCTTATTGGATCAAAGGCTGGTTGGTGGGAAGAAAGTAGTGTTGTTATAAATGGAGTTCAGACAAACTGGATAAATGTCACAAGTGGAATACCTCTGTACTACGTGGTGGCTTGTTTTTATTTTAAGGATTTGGATGTTGGCTGAAAGGAGGATACTGTCTGCTTTACAAAAGGATTTAGATATTAAATAGTAGATGGTTTGTAATAGATGTCACTGGCAGTCTTGGGCTCCTTATTTTAAGAACACTGAATTGTTGCAAAGTACTACTAGTTAAAAAGGACTCCTTATTTTAAGAACACTGAATTGTTGAAAACTTCTACTAGTTAAAAAGGGTTCCTTATTTTAAGAACAATGAATTGTTGAAAGTTCTACTAGTTAAAAAGGGCTCCTTATTTTAAGAACACTGAATTGTTGAAAGTTCTACTAGTTAAAAAGGGCTCCTTATTTTAAGAACACTGAATTGTTGAAAATAAAGCCCTTTTTAACTAGTAGAACTTTTCAACTATTCAGTGTTCTTAAAATAAGGAGCCCTTTTTACTAGTAGAACTTTTCAACAATACATTGTTCTTAAAATATGGAGTCCTTTTTACTAGTAAAACTTTTCAACAATTCAGTGTTCTTAAAATAAGGAGCTCTTTTTACCAGTAGAACTTTTCAACAATACATTGTTCTTAAAATAAGGAGCCCTTTTTACTAGTAGAACTTTTCAACAATACATTGTTCTTAAAATAAGGAGCTCTTTTTACCAGTAGAACTTTTCAACAATACATTGTTCTTAAAATAAGGAGCCCTTTTTACTTGTAGAACTTTGCAATAATTCAGTGTTCTTAAAATAAGGAGCCCTTTTTAACTAGTAGAACTTTGAAGAACACTGAATTTTTGATAAGTATTACTAGTAAAATGATTGTTTATTTGTTTTGAATTTTGCACAAAGCTACACTAGGGCTATCTGCACTAGCCATCCCTAATTTAGCAGTGAAAGACTAGAGGGAAGGGAGCTAGTCATCACCACCCACCACCAACTCTTGGGCTATTCTTTTTACCAACAAATTGTGGGATTAACCATCACTTTATAATGCTCCCACTGCTGAAAGGATGAACATATTTGAGCATGAGATGGGGATTCAAACAGTATTTTATTTATCTATAAACAATAAAGCTATCTTTCAAATTAACACACCATTATTTAGTTTTAACTGGGTGATCTTAACTTACAAGTTCTGTTTAATAGCAATCAATTTTTTTAGAAGTGGTAAATGAACATTAGCTTTTACAAAAAGTTTCGAAGATATAATTTCTCTGAAAATTTTTTAAAATCAGTTAAGGACTAATTTGTGAAAAGGCACTTTACATTATACCCTTTATGAAGAGAGAACGTTTTATATAAAAGTTTGAGATTTTTTACACATGGCACAAAAATAAACAAACAAACAAAACAAGTAATATATATAAAAGAAGAACTTACTTTCGATTTTTTCTAAAATATTCAAGGTACGGATGAACAGACGCACACAATGATAGCAATCTCTGTAAAATATTTAAGTGAATAAATACATTCAATAAATACAGTTGTTACTTCAGCTTAAATATTAATCATTGTACAGATATATTCTTAGGAAGTATTTTTTTAATGCTTTTAGTAAAATAATGGTGATTTTTCCTGAAATAATTGAATTTTTGACACATGAAATTATAAAATTTGAACAGATTAGTTAAGTAGATTTCAGATGTTGGGTCTTTAGTATATCAAATTGAAGTTCATAAAAATAACTTCATATTGGTATTTGCCCAAAGTTTTTTTCATAAATACTTAGCCACGGCACAGTGGCTCAGAGTTGTTTTTTTCCCAAGAACAAACTTTTAGCTCATTGCTCCATCTCTTGACTGACTTGAGATCTAATTACAGCCATGGATATTGAGGACTTCCTCTTGTTTTTACATACAATAAGAAAGTTCATGAAATAATAAAAAACTTACAACTAATTGTTGGGTTTTGCATAAAGCTACATGAGGGTTATCTGAACTAGCGTTCTTAATGTTGAAATGATAGATTAGAGGGAAGGCAGATAGTCAACATCACCCACTGCCAAACTCTTGAGCTACTCTTGTCTCTCTTAATATTGACCTTTGACACCAGATTTATAAAACCTTCATGACAATTGTCTCTCTAAGTTGTGCAGCCACACAACAACCAATAAATTGCCACATTTATAATTATTTCAGCCACACACATCCTCAGTAATGGTGAGGAGTCTCAATACATTGACGGCCTTAATGACCCTAGCAGTCAATAGGCCTAAAGCCCAAATGACAAAGCTGCTTAATGATTTAATAGGATCGAT